TATATATATATATATATTGTAATATTATATAATTTATTTTAAAATTGTACCTTTATTAAACCAATGTCATTTACAGCCAAAGCGTGAGGATCATAACGTTCATGGAAATACACCTTTTTCACTTTATGAGTCACTCCATCTTTATTAAGGTATGTTGTGCCAGTAACAACAGTCGTAGATTTCAATAGGGTCTTGTTATAATATAAATAATACACACAATGCGCGGCAGTTAGGATATGTTGTTTACTGATTATGTTTCCGCCGCACATGTATTTTCCATGCACTTTTATGGAAGCACAATGAGGATTTTCCTTTATAGAGGTAGATTTTCCATGTACTAATCTAGCCGTTTCATCGCCATAACTATCTGTAAACATATAGTAAAAGTAACTTTTAAATGTTATTCAATAAAGGTGTTAATAACTTTTAAAAAGTATTATTTTAAGATATGACATAATATCAATTTATGAACATAAAATTGCGGATACTTTATGACATATTAAAATATTATTACTTTATTATATCAATCTGAATTATTTCCATTATCATTTCTTCCATGAAAATTTCTTTCTATATCTTTATATTTTCAGATTGATTCTATTTCATATATTTCTATTTCATATATTTTGTGACATAAGAAAGATGGATATGATAAAATTTATTTCTGTTTTTATACACAATTTAAAAGCTAATAGGCTATAAAATTAATTAATACAATAAGAATAATGAAATAAAATAGAAATAACAAAATAAATTAATACTATAAAAATAGTGTAGTTAATAAAATTGTCTACTCAAGCAAGTAGCTAAGATGACAACCTACTAACAACAAGAAATAAGGCTCAGTGGCAGTAATTCTTTTTATTAAAGAATTTGTATTTATTTATTATTTATTCTTAATTTTTTAAAAATGTTGAGAAAATCAATATACTTAATGATTTTAAGTATTAATAAATTATAAAACTTAATAACATATAATGTTATTATAGATATAACATATAATGTTATATAAATAATTAGTTAATAACATGTAATGTTATATAAATCAATAATAGTGATTTTTAATCAAGGTATTAAAAATATTGTGTCATTTATATTAAATAAATCTAAAAGACTTTCTGAATGAAGCATGTACAGTGAAATTATGCAATTTATAAGCATAGTTTTTGTATATGTATGCAATATAGAAAAGAGAATATAATGTGACACATTTATAAAATAAATGAACCAATAAAAAACACAATTTAATTATTTAGTTCTTAATATATTTAACTTACCTACGACCGCTAATGCAATTAATTGTAAGGTTGCTAATGCTAGCTGTCTCATTGCGTTGATTTGCTTTCACACTGCGCTTAGCAAATTACGATAAGAACAGTAATAATTGTTGTACAATTTTTATCATATTAAAATAAGAGAGAGCGAGAGAGAGAAAGAGGGGAGAGGGAGGCAATAATATTAATAGAGATCATTTAATTTTTATCATGTTATAATGAAATTATCATAAAAATATAAACTATCATATATGTTTATGGGTAAAATAAGTCCTGTCGTAGATAGTTTGATTTTCACTTTAGAATAAAAAGCTTTGTGTGAAAAATCCATGTATATAGAAAAATTAATATTAATATAGCCAATAATAAGTAATTGAATTTACAGAAGATTAAATAATTAAATTAAAGAAAATATATAAAGCATAACCAGATATAAAGAAAAAAAATACAATAGTTATTATTGATGGTTAGTAATGAAATTCAGTCTGATTGTGATATTATATGTATATGAATCACTTTTTTGCACGGTGCATGCACGGTGTATGAACATATGTCAGAACTTTTAAACTCCAGGCACAATGCGAGGGAATAGCAATAGCAATAGAAATAACCAATTTCAACCTATTAGAAATTGGATATATTGGAAATGGAATTGGATATCTGCTTGAAATCATGTTATTTCTATTGCTATTTTTATCGTATTGTATCTAGGCTTTATAGGTGCTTTTTATTTGATGACACAAATTAAATATTATTCTATCTTTATCAGTATTTAGTGAATAACAAAGTTAGAATGACACTTTATGTCGATTTATATATGTCTAAATGAAGTTCAACCATATACAATTCTATGAATCTTACTAATAAAATGTCAATACCTACATGTTAGAAATGTTTAAGACACAATTCAGTTTCAATAATTTTCGCTGAAAAATAACTTATCCATATAATGTTTTCTTTTGAAAAAGTTTTTGATACTTTTGTCTTAATGACGTTTTAAGAGCATTCATATTACAATTGAAATAAGAGTAAATTAACTGCAATTACCACAACTGATATAAATATTACAACTGATATAACGCTCTAACTATATATTAGGTGTAGTAAAACGAAATCCATTATTTTTGCATGAAATTGAATGGAAAAATAATAGATTTCTTTTTACTATCTACCTTTTTACTACCTAATATTACATATCACAAGGTCATCGATGAAACAATAGTATCAGAAAATTATTGATAATTACTACACACACACACACACACACACACACACACACACACACACACACACACACACACACACACACACACACACACACACACACACAC